GTCAATAGCTACCACAACTTTTTTTTTCTTAATTCACTCGATCCATATTTCAAAAAATAGCAGCCCACAAAAGTTTGCCGTAAAACTGACAAAGTGCAGACACTGTTGCAGATGAAAATGACCGGCTAGTGTTGCGTTGCAGAAGACGTCACAGCAGTTTCATGCTGCATCGTTGCTGCATCAGCTGAGAATCACGCCTACACTGAGGAGGTACTTGGTTGCAAAAGTGAGCGGAGTTGCGTCGAGTTGAGCCAAACCGGAATGGAATGGAAATGACTCCCTTTCCATTTTCCGTCTGAAAACAAACCTTTTCTAGATGGTATATTCGGTCTGATTTAGTGGTGCTCATCTTTTCAGTGTAACTGCATTGTTGTATTTGTAAATTATTTGTATTTTATTTAAATACATTTTCCTGTTCCAATGTTTTGTATTTTATTTTGATATATTTGCGGAGCAAGTATTTGTAATTCGTAACAAGATACTTGTATTTGTGCCCATCTTGGTTTATTTTTTCTTGTGGGTTGGAGAAATGTGCCGCAAATGGTATTACAACTCTCTCTGTCCATATCCCCCTCCTTCTCCTCCCTTAGATGTGTTGTCATAACTGTGAGCAATGACGTTACCATGACCTTCAACTGCAGCCAGATGAGAGGACGCTACGTCAACATTTTTTACCCTGGAGAAAGAACGCTTCAGCTTTGTGAGCTCAAAGTGTTCGCTACTACCCACGTCACAGGAGGTAAACACTGAGCGATGGCATCTGTGGATTAAATCATGTGATTAAATTTGTGGGTTCTGTATGAAGAAAGTAAAGTAGCATTAATAATTTTTTTAGTGAGTTTAGTGAGGTTATGAATGCTAATCATTTCTTTAGAGTTAAAATTGANTGACACTAAAGTCTCACTCTTGTCATTTTCTGAAACTTGGCAGCCCTGTGCTACGGCTGTATCTAGGCTAAGGTAACAGGTAACATGCTAACTATTATTTCTATGTCACTAGTCACTTGAAACAAATTTAGGACGATAGGAGACGGGTTGAAATAAACCGAAATTTCCCTTTAATAACATTTAAACGGGTGAGTTATATAAAAAAACATGTTTATTTCTGCTGTAAATTTTGGCATTTTTAACACGGGAGTCTATAGGGACTGACATGCTCTTGGGGCCAGCCTGACTGGGCATTCAAGGAACTGCAGATTTTCTGTTTTACAAACAGTAGCCAGAAATTGCTGGCTACTGTTTGTAAAAAGAATCGCAAGCGAAAGTAAAGTCAACCACAGATTCACACCTGACTCTGTTTTGGAACGATCTTTGTCCAACTGTCATTTTGCCTCACTATATTTGTCTTTTTTCGGTGCTGTGATTTTCTCAGCTATCTCTTAGATGTGTGCTGCTTATGGTCTGGCACATGACGCCTACCCTTTTCCCCCTGACTTCACATGAGCGCTGCGCCCAGGAATGTCCGAATACAACAAAATTAGAAGAAAATACAATAATACAGGCAGAAGACAGAGTCTCTGCAGATAAATACACTGCCACACACTTCTAATGGGTCATAAGTTATGATTGAGAGGGATAACCTCTGTATGAATCTCTACATTGTTTTTTGTTCTTTTAGAAAAAAGTCCTGCATAGTATGTTAAGTTTTTATTTCTGTTAATTCTTCAGTTACTTGTGGTTTATTCTATGAACTATGTTAATTATTAAGAAGTCATTACATCTTGACAGTTCAAAAATACCCTGTCTGCTGCTCTAAGATGAAAGTTGGCATTTTTTCACTTTTAAACCTTCAGCAGTAAACGAAAAGAACATTTGTTTTGAATTGCCTTCCTTTACAGCATGAAGCTCCTTTGATTTCAGGTCAACTAATCCACTTATCAACAGAGCAGCAAGACGTCTGTCCAAGCAGTTTCTTATTTCGTTTCCTTTTGTCTGAATTTTAAAAGCTTAAGTTCATTCATGTTTTGGCCTTTGAACCTTTCACACGGCTGTTGAAGGCTTTCAGTAATACATGAGGAGTCTGCGAGAAATAAATGCATAGTTTCTTCCTTTGTCCTGAAAAATGCAACGGCTGAAGGTGGACCACTTTGATCTGACAGATGTGGAATATTATTCAGGATGTTTCAGGTGAATTGTATTGCGAGGAGAGCGAGACCGGATAAAGAAAAGCAGATAAAGATGAGAAAGATGGAAAGAGAAAGTAAAAGAGACCCAAGAGTGAGACATGAGGAGACAGAGGAGAGATGGTGAGACAGTTAGTTTAACAAGCACAATGGGTGATTCAGAATGAACCTCAGCAGTGAAAGGGGAAGGGAGCAGCAATTATCACCGACCAGGCCGAACAAGGACAAACATTCTCCTCGCCGAAAACTTTCTCCTGCTTCCCCAAACTGTTTGGGTGTAAGAGGAATCACAGCGCACCCAACAAACTAGACAAAACAACATAAACATGCAAAGTTTGAGTATGGCCCCACAATATGTATTATACTTTGTGATTATCCTTAGTATGGGGATGTGTGAGACATCGCTATACTTGGAAAGCAATTGCAAAAGCAAAAGCTTGGTTGCAAAGAAAGAGTTTTTTGTATAATGATTGTTTCAGCAGTATTTAAATTGTTATTTTTCACTGTGTAGTTAAAATCCCAGGCGTTTTTTTCAACCTGAATATCACTAAACCAATGTTAACCTGCATGTTTGAAATCTAAACTGCAAGTGTCAGGTTTTTTATGTCAAGATTCTGATATTTAAAGATGCTGGTAGGCAGATGTTGTAACCTTAGGACAGACCCAATCTATCTGTTTCCCCCTGCTTTAACTCTTTACACTAAGCTAAGCATCTCCTGGTGGCTTTAGCTTCTTATTTACCGTACATTGGAGTGAAATATGAGAGCGGTGTCAGTCTCCTCATCTTGCTTTCGGCAAGAAAGCAAAGAGGGGCTTTGAGTTGCCAAACAATAACCATAGAAATGTTAATAATGCTTTTGTTGCCACAGGAAAACAAATCAATCATGCTGACAATGAACATTTTGCAGATATGTTCAGTATTAAATAAATATTGGGTTGTGATGTCACTATGCTGATAAAAGAATCTAATCCAGCATTCCATTTGTTTAAAAATACATTTGCTGCTGTCTGTTTCATGTCTGAATAAGCACTGAACATTTCCGTACCACTTCAGTGCCACACAAGTCTGAATAAAATACTGCCAGATTAACATATGGACTGCAGCAGCATACACGTTTAACATGCAGAGAGTGTGGGAGAGAGAAATGTGTCTTCTAAGACAACTTGTAATAAATCCATCTCATTTTGTGGAGGAGATTGCTATCAGATCAGTTCAACTATTCTTTTCTCATGGTGTGGTCCAGACAGAAGATGAACAATCTCTTCCTACAGTTTTAATTTTCATTCATGTCTAACTGCATGGATAAATAAAAGAATATCCACCAAAAATGCTTTCCATATAGAATGTGAGCTGATAGGAATTAAACGAGAGTGCCAACTGAATGTCCAGTAATTCAGTGCTTGTGCAAGTCAGGCATAATAAAATATGCAGCAGGCTTCGCTCTCTGATGTTGTTAAATGATTCATTTGATGTGGAAACGTATTCACTGTGAGAGGAGGGGTCGCACTGGTCATTAAAAAAATCATGTTTGAAAAAGGCTTCAGTGATATATAAACATATTTTTGTTGTCACTACATACGTAATCGATCTATCAGTCAACGTATGGTTTACTAATAGGGATGGGTCACGATTTTCGAATTTCGAATAGTCGTTTTATTTTTGAAAAATCGATTTTTTAATGCGACTATTACTATTCGCTGTCTTATTTCCCCCCTTTATTTGACATGCAATTCAGCTCCTAACCACACGAGGGCAGTACAGGATTGCTACAGCGGTGTGAGATGGGCTACCAGCTAGCTTGATGCTCTTCTACAAACAGGAGAAACATGCAGAGACTACAGGCCCGAACATACTCGGGCGTACTATAAGCGGAACGGACTCCGCGAGGAATGTCCGCAGTCATTCGGGCTTCCATAGTCGAGCGCACTTCCGTGTTGTAGTTTCCTGTAAAAATGTCCGTGAAAAATCCCTGCAATGTGAAAAATACATGCCGAGCAGTCACTGGTGCATGGAGCGGAGTCCGTACAGTCGGAAAATCTGAGCTTTGCGCACTCAGGGCTTGCCTCTGTGGAGTCCGTTCCGTGTCCGTTCCGCCCGAGTATGTTCGGGCATTTCATGATGAATGGATCTCTTTGTGCGTGGCTCCGGGGGGGCGGGGGCAATTATTCGAAAGATTGTCGAATAGTTGCCACAGTTTTCGAATAGTGTTTTTGCTTGTGCTGCCCATCCCTATTTACTAAAGTGATGTAGCTGACTTGTTTGACCTGTTAACCAATGAGAAGCTTATTAAATGTTTTATTGGTAGTTCTGACCTGAAAATGTCCTGCCCGGATCCATGCCTGCTGTTATACAGACATTCTGTGACAAAATGAAAACACTTAGTGAAACTAAATTGCTCCTATCCTAGAGCTAATGGTGACCAAGGCAGGGGAGCACACACACATACATGCACATTGCTCACATTTAAACATATATCACTCTTCCGCTGGGCATATTGACCTTTAAAGATGCAGCCCTTTTTCATGTTAATTAACAGCCGACCCTACGGGCTTCATCAGTAACAGGCCACTAATGGTCCATGATATGTTGCAGCTCCTTTCCCTGCTGCACAGTCACATTTCATTAGTATTACAACTGTGGTCATATTTTGTTGACAAAGTGTCTTTTTTGTGATTGTGAATGTGGATGTGCGCAAGGTGTCTTTGCATGTATGCAAATTGCTGCGTGCCAGGATGAGGAGACCATTGGTCGGCAGCTCTGACAGGTGATTGTCTCGGTCACCTCTAAACTTTCCATAACAATTAGTGTTCAGGTGACATTTACGGCAATGACGACATAAGGAAAAGCAGAAGACCACTGTGCAGATGTTGGCTGTACCTTATCCTGGCTCGTGTCCGCCCCACACACACTGGTGATGTTTGGGAAAACCTCCGACCATCCCGATGATGTGCAGTTCCTGCTAATGTTACCTGTGAGAGACAAATAAATGCAGTACATTATCTCCACTCTTCACCTCCGCACTAACTGATGGCCTCTGTTTCTAAACCTATGATGTGAGAGAATAAAAACAGACACAAGACCAATAACCAAAAGTGTAGGCTAGGTGTAAAGCTTGGTAGGTACTAGATTCAGTCTAGTCCAATGGTCCTTGTTTCAGAAACATAAACTAATAAATGTTATGTCTAAGAAATGTTTGGCTGTAACTACATATGTGGGTGAGACTGAGAATATTGGAATTGGTTTGAGTCCTCTGTACCTGACGAAAAGCCACTTTGGATTTAAACAGTGTAATTTTCATTACGCAATAAAGAAAAAAATACATTTGCAGCAGTGGACTGTGTCGTGACTCCTGAGTGTTTTGGGATATTTCAGAGTCGCTGATTTTTTTTTTTTTTTTTTTTTTTACAACTGGACAAGGTAGGACATTCCATGGATATTCAGTGTATTTTGAATAGTAGAGTAACAAAGTGTTACTCAAAACACCCCATGGTAAAGTGAAGCTCAGTATCATCTGGTGTGAATTCAAATGAGCGCTACGTCCAGAAGGCAGTCAGCTCCTGAGGGACATTTTCTGGGTGTCCCAATGCCAAAATTGCTGCAGTGCACTGGAAGTTGATCCCTCATGGAAATTCCCAGCATGCTGTGTAAAAAGCAAGAAGCATCTCTTGCTTACTGACTGGAAATAACATCACCGCGCTTCTGCCTCACTACACTCTTAACAAACCCTCTTCACAGTGTCACAGCAAGGTAAACACAGCTGAAGCTAAGAGAAGTTTTTAATGGCTAACAGTGATTTATATGTGGGTGTGCCAGCAGTAATGTTAACACTGTTGCCAGAGCAGTACTGAGCTGTGTTAACCCTGTTGTGACATCCCATAGGAAGCAAAACAGCAAAATGCTTGCCCAGAACTTTCTACAGCATCGAGTGACAAAGCTTTAGAAGACGTGGATTCTGGAAGTATATGTCAAGTCTTGAATGTAACAGCATGGGGGTTTTCCTGATAATTACACAGTATATAACTTTATGGAAGATCATGACAAACACAGGCTGTTTTAATGCACTATTGGTACGTTTTTCTAGAAAAAGTAATGCACCAAAATTCATAAATATCCCAGTTATTTACATAAAAACCACGTATTTAGGAAGGCTATGATCATGTGATGAACGTGCTGACAGGAGTAAAAAAGGAAGCAGTCCTGTAAGGAGACAGGTTTGGGTGGTGGATGGGTCGCAAAATGCAAGAATTGCCCCCAGAGGACTTTCCCCAGGAAACTGGTGCTCAGAACCATGTGAACTTGGTGGTAGTGTGGCCGAGTGGTCTAAGGCATGGGATTTAAGCCCCAGTCTGTGGAGACATGGGTTCAAAACCCACCTTTGCCATCCTTTGTCTGTAGATTCTTGGAATATCTCTCACCAGTATTGTGGCTGGAAACTGAGAAACTTTTCTAGAAGGTGTCTCGTTTCAACAAAAACGTTCTTTAGCTTCTTTGGCCCTCCGTTATCAGCAAACACAACAGTATTTCATGCTCAGTGATTGGAGGTATCTTACTAGGATGCACCTTGGGAGACATAGTCTTCCTTCAGTTTTCATGTCCAGAGGCTTGTACCTTGGACATTTTGTGAAAGAACTGGATATTTTCAGGCTGTTAGTATGTACTGTTCATTTGTATACCTACAAAAAGTAATGCACCACAATCTGTATATAACCCATGTAATCATGGGCCAGTAATTTGTATACTACCCATGTAATCACAAAGGCAGCAATAACAAAACCAATGCACTGGGGAAGTAACCTAAAGAAGCAAGTCGTATGAAGAACTAGAGTCTGGTGTTCATGACTTGTGTGAAACCAAGTGAACTTTGAGTTATATTAGGTATGTTGTCACCATGTTACTTTACCTAAACCTAAACTATATAAATTTACATTAAGTACGTAATGTGCGACGCCCAACCATGATTGTTTTCCTAAACCTAATCTACGTGATTTAACATTCCTAAACCTAATCTACGTAACTTTACATTTCTAAACCCAATCTAAGTAACTTTACATTCTTAAACCTAACCTACGTAACTTACCATTCCTAAACTTAATCTATGTAACTTTACATTCCTAAACCTAACCTACGTAACTTACCATTCCTAAACTTAATCTAAGTAACTTTACATTCCTAAATCTAACCTACGTAACATACCATTCCTAAACCTAATCTATGTAACTTCACATTCCTTAACCTAATCTACGTAATTTAATAAAGTATATAAAATTAAAATTTTTAAAAAAAATCAACATTCCTAAATCTAATTTATGTATCTTTACATTCCTAACCCTAACCTACATAACTTAACATTTCTAAACCTAATCTATGTAACTTTATATCTCTAAACCTAATCTATGTAATTTTTCATTCCTAAACCAAACCGACGTCACTTTACATTTTTTAAATCTAATCTTCGTAACTTTAGATTCCTAAGCCTAAACTACGTAACTCTACATTCCTAAACCTAACCTTGGTAACTTTATGTTAAGTAGGTGAAATGACCACACATTCTCACTCCAACCTTGTCACATATTGACGTTGATCATGGTCATGGATATTCATGTCCACATTAGTGTTGTCACGGTACCAAAATTGGGACCCACGGTACAATACCAGTGAAAGTATCACGGTTCTGAGTAGTATCACGATACCACAGCAAAAATGAGGCAGACGTGCCTTTTGTCCTTTATAAAAAGATAAATCACTTTTCTATAATACGTCAATGATATTTCAATGGAATAAATTACTTATTGACTTATTAATACTTCAAAAACAGCATCAATAAGTGATTAACATAGTGGGGGTCAAAATAAAATAAATAAATAAATAAAATAAAAATCAACCAGCCACCCTCCTCCCCTGACAAGTTAAGAACAGTCCCTTAAGTGCGGTGAGGTTTGTGGACTGTTCGGCTGTTCAGGTACTTTTGGGCGGTCATGACACCAACAAAGATAAATTATTGGACCTGGAGCCGGGCTTCTCAGTCGCCCTGTAAGCCGTAATCTTGTGCCGCGGAGCAGTATGGCTGCTGTATTTGACCGCTGTATTCCTGTCTGTGACCCCCGTTCAACCCACAACTGGCAGGATTTGCCTTTCGTTTCTGCTGCTAGTTGAAATCTGTACTCTCACAGCGTGCTCCTGAAAGATTTCTTTTGCTCGCATAAAACTATTTTTATACAAGTAAAAATAAATAAATAATAACTTTCACTGCTTAAAGATACTCAATAGCTCAGCTAATACCTGAAATGTCACTGCAAAACAAACCACTACAGCAACATATTGAGTGCCAAGTGGCCAGAGCATGCCGTTATTGGATGGCACATGGACACTCACCCTCTTGCGATTGGATTTTGAACTTATCCCATAGTAGTGGTGCCGTGAGGTATCATAGTACTATGGTACTCCAACATTATGGTATCATATGTATCGTGGTGTTTAAGTACCGCTGTCTACCGTTGGTACCAGTATACCGTGCAACACTAGTCCACATACGACATTGCAAGGTACCCTGGGTGTGTTGGTTGACGTAATAGGACACCGTGTCAAGTTCTGCCTGTTACATGCATTGTCTTCTTTTCAAAATGCACTTCGTTTTCAAAATAAATGCAATATGTAGGTACAACACCACAAATTGACATTTGCGTGGTTAGGTCTAGGCAACAAAATCACGTGGTTAGGTGTAGGAAAAAAGAACAGGGTTTGGCTCTAGAAATTTAGGGTCCATGTCATTGGTTTGACAGCCCATTGGTTCGACATCCCATTAGTCCAACTGTCCGCGGTGCTGAAGGGCTCGCGGCAGGCGTATGGTGTGCCGCGACCGGCTTGAGGCGGAGCAGGCTCACGGCTTATGTTTGTCACTTTCTTTTTCATTTTAACCCACACCATGATCTTTTCCTGACCCTAACCAAGTGGTTTTTGTGCCTAAACCTAACCAGACCTTAATCACAGGGCATCATGATGATTTCGGAACGGACTTCAGAACAATGAGCTTAATATGGTCGGAACAATGGGATGTCGAACCAATGGGCAGTTCCCGAAATTTATGGGATGTGAACATGGCTCTCTCGGGTAAAAGTCGGTGTTTGTTGTCTTGATGAGCCCCAACTGTCAGTCAACTACTATCTTTTATGAAGCAAATCAAAAGGACTTTTACTCCCAGAACCTTGCATGTCCAAATAAACTTCTTCCATTTGCCACCTCACCCCAAGAATAAACTATATGTTGTTCATGTAAGGTAATTATCACATCCAATGTTAAACTAAATCAGAACCATAACTGTTCTGAAGAGCTGTAACATGTTCCTATAGTTTGTGTTGTTTCTTAGTGGGAATGGCAATACCCTTTCACATTTCATGATATTTTATGTTAATTTGCAGAAACTATTGCTGAGTAAAGCTAAATAAAATAAAACCTAGAGTTGGAGGCAACTTTTGAATACATTGCATTGATTTGGGAAAAAAAAACAGCCAGTAAGCTTAATTTGTGTCAAATGTTGGTTATCTGCCTTTGGAAAAAAATATCTAATTATTTTCTTGTTTTCTCAGCACTTTGAAACAACATAACGACATCCAATAACTTCAGGATGCCTTCTGTTCAGGATCCTGCTGATACTACAGCTTCATCTTTCATAATGAGTACTTTACGATTTCTGTGAAATGGACTAACTTTAGGGGGTTTGGATAGCTCCCAGCCAGGGAAGCATCACAGTAAACTTTGGCTCTAAACAAGCTGCTGGGTGCTTACATAATGTTTAGTCATCAATGTAAATCAGAGCATGGCCTTGGAGTGGAAATCCAAACTGCCATCTGGTCACTGGCTGGAAAAGAAAAAATTGATGGATTCAGCAGGGAATCCACTGAACACAGTCACACAGAAACACACTGAGCAGAGGGAGAAATGAGGACAGAAAGCCTCATCAGTTTAAATACTAAAACCAGCAACTCGCTGTAACATGCACCACAATAGTCTTTTAAATAAAGCCTGAGTTAGGGTAATGAACAATTTTATCCTACAAAGGGATTATAACAGAATGCTTTGATAATATGAGAAAATTCTGATACACAATAATTTAATCCTATATGACTAATGTAAAAAAGAGGGGATTTCAAAGCTTGACAACAAGATAGAGGGCTAAGGTAGAAGCCACGGAGTCCTGAACAAAAATACATTTTGAATCAGTACCTCTCAGTATCGGCCGCTTGACATGCACAAATAAGACAAAAAGAAACTGTCATTCAATTCATAGCAACTTCAAAAGGGTGAAATGAACCCTCAACCCAGTCACCAGAAAAAATGGTGGCACTGAACAAAAAAGCAGCGGCATCTTGGTAAAACACAACTGCTTTAATGGCGCTATCCCTGTTGGAAACACAGCAACAGGTCGTTATAGAACACCCAAGTCTGGTGTCTAAGCCACTGGAAACACTGCAGTGACTCACTAAATCACAACAGGTATTGTTGTTTGTTGGTCTTGAACAGTGGTCTGCTTAGCGGGTGGCTCAGTGACATGTTATACACTATCCCCTCCACCTCCTGTTGACAAAGTCAGCTCATATACTGCGTCACTTTTGATACGTTAATATTTGAGGTTTGCAAAAACCTTAGGTGGGCTGAGACCACTGCACTGCTGTCCAAACAGTCCAACTCGCTAACAGCCACATGCAGTTACGGTGGGCGTCTTCAGAGAAATGTTTATAACTAAAGTGCACTAATAAGGGGTGTCATGCCCCGCATTATCCCAAATGAGATTTCTCTCTGTCACGTTTAAATTCCTTGCCTGAATCTTTAAGAATTCCCTCTGCGCCTCACCAGTCATGATCTGAAAATTTGCGTTTTCTTTTTCTCTCTGCTATTGTTCTGCCTACAATAATCTCGGCACAAAGGCAACATTTATCATTTAATCACATGCAAAAGAAGGGCAAATTGCACTCAGCTGCAAAACTCAATGGGCATGTTTGCCCTATCATATAACAAGCACAAAACCTTTGGTGAATTGGACCTTGAGTCAGGGCAGATATTGGTTCCAAGTGCAACTAATGGTGCTATCAGCAGGTGCAATCCATTCTCTGTGAATTCGCTTGAGGATTTTTTGCATAATCAGATTGTTTGAATATGAACAGAAAGGTGTTGTATTAGTAGCTTTTATATTGTAGGTCTCTAACCTGTTTATGTGTACCACAAGGTCCTTTTAGTAGCTGCCATGGAGCGTTTAACACAAACATCAACGGTTCTCAAACTTTTTATATTTGGGGGACATCAGATGTATGTTGTATTGGTAGCCTTTAAATTGTAGGTCTCTATGTCCTGTTTATGTGTAAAATTAGTTTTACTATTGTTAATGAAACAATCTGGCAACAAGGTCCATTTGGTAGCTGTTCTGGAGCTTTTCTTTAAACCACGTGGTCTTTATTAGCTGGGGGAGTTTGTTAGATTGTTTCCCAAGGCACTTTAAAGTCTTCTTGTCCATGCTAGCTAAACGTCATTCTTAACCTTGGAAAAAGCAGTTGCTCCAAAAGCTCCAAGACAGCTACAAAATGGACCTTGTGTTGCAGCTGTGTGCTGTTGGACTGCATTTCCCAGTGTTCTCCTGTGTTTTCCCCGCCCCTTTCCCCAGTGTCTGTCTGTGTCTTGTGGCTTCCCTTCCCTGGCTCCTGGCTGATTACACTCACCTGGCTGACTACACACACCTGGCTGATTACACACACCTGCCTTCCATCAATCTCATCAACCTCCAGTCTATATCTACCCCTGGTTCTCACCCACTCATCGCCAGAATGTTGTTCAACCCTCTGTGGTAGTTCTCTCAGGCCAGACTTTAAAAAAAGGACAATTTATTGCTTGTGATTCCCCGTGTTGTTTCCGCCTTTTTGTTAATTCTGATTCTCCGTATGTTCCCGGACCAGTATGCATCTGCCTCTCCGTTCTCCAACAAACCTGCCAGCCATCCACCCATCTGCTCCCCAGCCAGCCCTGTTCATCATCCCCCTCACCCTTCTCACTTGACCCTTGGACCCCGCTCACCACCATTCACCATTTTTTCCTTTTGTTGGAATAAATCCTTATTTTTTCCGCCAACTGTTTGTGTCCTGCATGTGGGTTCCCCCAGTGTTCTCAACACCTTGTTGTGAGATGGCTGTTTCCCAGGAAGATTAAGAGTGAACTTTGAACCCCATGTTTTACTTTCTTTTCTTTGGTTTTATTTAGGAACATTCAACATTTAGTTTGTGTTTATATCTGGTATTATGGCAGGTCATATAATCCATTATGTCGAGTTGGCAAGTTAAAATGTGTGACACACACACACACACACACACACACACACACACACACACACACACACACACACACACACACACAAATTGCTCAACTACTCAACAAATGATTGACCAGTCTGAATCTACACTCTTAAATCGTGACCATCAGTTATTCATATTTCAACTTTGCCTCTGCTTTTCTTTCATCTCTCTGTTTTGAAATGTTTTGAAAATTGATATGAAATAAATGAATACAAAATAAACAAAGGAAATGAGTAAATAAGTGCATATAAATAAATAAATACATTGCCTACCATTTCTACCAAATACTGTCTTGAGGACTCGAGGACAGGGGATGGTGACAGTCTCGCCAATCTCAGTTTGCTCCCAGCATGCAATGTTGTCCCACGCTCCTTTGCATCCTGGCTCTGTCAAAAACCAAAAGGTGGCATCATGAGTACATTTCACACAGAAACATAAATGTAAGAGACTGTCCTCTCCTGAAAAAAAGAAACAGTATTAGTCAGAGGCTCATAATCGAGGGGTGAGAGTGAGGGGTGGGGGGCTCACGTCCTTCCCCATTGGTGTGGATGAGGACTATGCCCTAAAGGAATATGCCATCACCAAGTTGAGCCATTGCAGAACAGTTGCTGCAACAACTGTTCTTTTTAAGAGTCACACTCCCTTCTGTGCAGCAGAACTGAAAGCACTGCCACCCTCAGCTCATGTCCCAGGTTAAGCTACCCAAAGGTTACCACCAAGCTCTGCTGTGTCACTCCAAAGAGCAAACACCAAATGCTTTGACAGGAGCTTTCTCCACTCCGCTGTAACAACATGGAACAGCCTTCTCCCTGCTGTCATCGAAGGGATCACATCAAGCAGTGTTCATCCCTTTGAGAGGAGACTGAATAAACACATCCTCAGCATGAGACTGCAATCCCAAAGCTCAAGGACTTCAAACAAACACAAATCAGTCTCATTTATATTCCCAAGTAGCTGCAGATCAGTCAGTGATAGGCGTTCTGAATTGTATTCACGAAGCTTGTATCTGCAAAAGCAAAATTTTGAAAAATCTTCATTTTACACACATGTACTCTCTGAAATCTATCTACATGAAGTTTTATTTTTGTGCATGTAGCAGATATTAAATTATAGCTGCAGTGTGATGTAAAGCCTGACAGCTTCTCACAAGTATGGTGTACTTTCACATGACTCACAAGCAGCCTCATATTCATCATTTGCCAACACTTTACCTAATGTGGTGATAGTTTGTAAGAATGTTAATTTTATGACATTTACATCGTGCTCTGGTCTGCAGTGTCTCACAACCTCCGGGTGTTTTCTCTTTTGCATAAAAGACCTGATTAGGAAACGCTGTTTTTACATTTTTAACAGTAATACTACAGACTCACAAATAGAGAGAACAATAAAGAGAAAAGGAGAAATCATTCTTTTAGTGGCTTATAAAATATTTTCCATTTAAAAAGCTATTGAGAAATAATTTTGCCAAAGGTCTGAATATCAAATCTGCATCTGAGAAACTGCACTGCAATCATGGATAAAAACAACTGCATTAGTGGATTTTATTTCATACCGAAGAAAAGTCTTAATTTAATGATAGTAAGATGTGAAGTCAGTTGTTCTTATTTTTTGACATCCCTGGTCCCTGTTCTGCACTAAGGATGCTACCACTGGGAAAACTGAGTTGCACTATTATGTTTGCAGCCCTGTCTCCAAATATCGTGTTTGCATTTTACTAAATTGTTTTCCCAATTATGTTGTGGTGACAAACATAATTGCTGCTGATGTTTAGAGGCACGGTTTCTAGACTTGCTAGACTCACACTAACAGGTCAAGGTGGATGCTGGGTGTAGACAGTGCAAGACTTTGACAGCAGAGATGTTGTGTTTTGCATCCTGAGTCCTGTTTGTGGTGAGGCTTAGGAAAGAAATACACTTTGTTTAAGGTCAGGGAGAGATTATGGTTTTGTTAAATGTTAGTAGACATGTTGTGTCTCCTGCTTCAAGTCCCTGTGGACTTTCTCTGTATTAAACCAAGACCACAATCTTTACCTAATCCTTCCCTAGAAAGTGTTCCCAGAGGCTAAGGTAACCATAAAAATGAAGGCTATAGTATTAATATCTGTCTACTAAGACAAAGTACATTTCCTCATGATGAGCTGTAACTGTCCATTACATTCAAGCCCATGCCAAACACATTCACACAATGCTGACTGTAGACTAAAATAATAGACGTAGCCAGTGTGATTATACCCACTGGTTTGGGGACTCCCATTTTGAAGCCTCAAGGTTGGCATTTATGATGTTGCCATCTTGGAATTTTGGAGCCAGAAGTGACCATATTTGGAGGGTGGAGGTAACTCTAACAGTAGCTGCTAGCATGGTTAGCACAGTCATGTACAGCTATGGTTAATTGTGATACTGCTAATAAAAAATTTGCTAGCAAAAAACAGACTTAAAACCATAAAATGTACCTAAAGGAATATATCCAACTCCTTAGAGGGTCTTTTAGTAAACTGTTACCAGTGCCAGACCTAGGGGAAATCTGGACCGGCAGCAAAGGTTACACAGGCATGGGTGCACTGCATAGTCAATAAGAACACTGTCTGTGGATTAATAAGGGAGAGAGTCAAAGGTAGCATCTTGCACTAGCCAATGCTCATTTAATATTGAATACAACACAACAATACAAAACTGTAGCCTACATATTTCTCAGTTATGTCAGCTTCATAAAACCTGCTGCTTTCAAGTTCATGTTTCATATTCACACAAAAACACGTTACAGAAATAAAACAAATGTTGTAACCAAATTGACAATAAACAATATAAAACACTGTCTAAAGAAAAATAACTTCACACAAATTTAAAATATGACTTTCATTCCTAAATAAATAATAAGCTCAACTGAAATATAATGTAAGATATGTATAAAATATAACAATACAAAAATTATATTACCCAAAAACAATTTACTTCACTCAAATTGCTACATTCACTCCTTTTAACACATACATTACAGTTATTATTACACTCATCCTACACACAGAACCTTTCTGCAACATTAGCATACCACTTTCCTAGGGTCCGTCCCAAGTCTCTTAAATTACTGCTAATTATCTTACCTAGCTGACTTTGCTAGCTGTTTAGCCCCTCCCACCTAAGAAAAATGTGAGGAGCTAGTGCTAGGAACGATGAGCGAGCATTGTCGGTTTAAGAGACATGAGACGTCTTTTCCACTGAAGCGTCACGTGAAGCGACGTCTATTCCTGATGACGCCGGCACAGCTGGATCTGCTGCATAACGGAGCCAGCGTTTGGCTTAGCCTACATCCCAAGTCACATTATATTCGTTGATCAAAGCCGTAAGCCCCCCGCCATCATGAATTTGGACACACAGTTTTGCATGTATTACCATTGTTACTGAGTCATTTCCACTCGCCATCATTCAACAAGTCAGCTGTGAATAAGACATATCAGACCTGTCAGTCTGCCTCACTCAATCAGTTTTATTTATAAAGCCCAATATCACAAATCACAATTTGCCTCACAGGGCTTTACAGCATACAACATCCCTCTGTCCTTAGGACCCTTACAGTGGATAAGGAAAAACTCCTCAAAAAAACCCTTTAACAGGGAAAAAATGGTAGAAACCTCAGGAAGAGCAACTGAGGAGGGATCCCTCTTCCAGGACGGACAGACGTGCAATACATGTCGTACAGAACAGATCAACATGATAAATTAACAGTAATCCGTATGACACAATGAGACAGAAAGAGAGACAGAGACAGAGACAGATGCAGGACAGACGGTAATGACAGTAGCCAGACAGACAGACAGAGAGAGAGACAGAGAGAGATGCAGGGCAGACGGTAATGACAGTAGCTTACAACAACATTAATGAAAGTAATAATATTAATTAATATTAATATTAATAGGCTAAATAATATTACCTACAAGCTATTAAACATTCCACTCACATGACATGTAGGACAATTAATGATGGGCAAATGTGTTTGTGTGTGTGTGTGTGTGTGTGTGTGCCTGGTAGGGCTGGGTGATATGGCCTAAAAAAAAAATCTCTGATTTTTTCACAAAAAATCCGATTCACGATTTAAATCAATTTTTTCCCCTCCTAGTTAAAAAAAAATATTTGCGGCCTGGTAGCACATACCTGGGGTCCAAAACTTTCAGCATGTGAATAAACCCCAGCTTTTCCATGGTAGCCTATAAATGGGCACCATATCTCTTGCAATATACATGGCGACTGCATCTGTGATTGCTTTCCACCGGACCCCTTTCTTATCATATGGCACACCAGCTTTGTGTTTCCTTTAAAACATATTGCGCTTTTTCAAATTAGGTGTATATAAAACAAATTTATCAGCAACTTTTAGGGTTGGATGTTTGTTCAGAAACCCCAAATGTTACTGCATGAATTCAGTTGCGGGGCAGCACGGTGGTGCAGTGGCCAGCAGTGGGTTTCTTGTGGGGAGTGGGGGGGTTCGAACCCTTGGGTGGGTGAGCCTTTCTATGTGGAGTTTGCATGTTCTCCCCGTGTCGGCGTAGGTTTACTGCAGGTGCTCCAGTTTTCTCCCACAGTCCAAATACATGCAGGTTAATTTGTGACTCTAAATTGGCCGTAGGTGTGAATGTGAGCGTGTGTCAGCCTGGCGACCTGTCCAGGGTGTACCCTGCCTCTTGCTCAATGTCAGCTGGAATAGGCTCCAGCCCCCCCGCAACCCCCAATGGGAAAGGTTGTTACGGAAAATGAATGAAATGAAATGAATGAAAGTCCGATGCTATTCTTATCTGTTCATACCCAAATAAAATTTGTATTCAGATTCATTCCTACGAGATCTTAAGGATAAAATATTTGGAAACACAAACAGCTTATATACAACAATTACATACAGCGCATTAAAACTGGACCTGTAAGAAACCATACGTTTAAAACAATTACACTCCTCATAAAGCTTTCTGGATTTGGCCTGTCTGAATGCCGCCATGTCCTAAATTGCACAGAAGACATATGAAGATTTAGACACTATCAGCACAGGGACAGGGATATACAAGGGACGGGTGGCCCTGAATGAATACAAAACTCTCACCCACCCTCCAGAAACAAAACAAACAAACTGCCTCCCAAAATAGCTCTTCCAGCTCTTCAACATGAACCTTAATGGGTGCAAAAGCGCTGATGGCAAACTGAACAGTCAACAAGGCTTTTTAGCAATAGATGAACGGAGACAGTGTGCTTGGTAAAATGTAGACCTCATCTCCAACATCCCTGCTGAAGAAACACAGCCAGCTACCGAAGCATCAGACTGTGAAGGAGAATAAAACGGCTATAAAAAGCAACCTATTAGTGTCAAGTCAAGAAAAAAAACATAGAGGCGCTTCTATTTTAGCTCCTATAGCTTTTGAGATGTTGTTTTCTAAAATACAAACTGCACACAGTTAAAATGACACATTTCAGGTGATTAGCTGACGACTTCATTACTTAGAGCAACTCGTAAAACTGAAGGATTGCTGTTTTGTCAGGTTACATGAATGCTGAGAGCCGCGCTCCATGTTGCAGAGATCAAACTTGTGACTCTGAGGAGAAAGAGGCAAATATCATCATCAGTATCACCGCTCGCTTATACAATTCAGTTGAACATGAAAGCAGATAAATCTCATCTTCATCCCCCAAATGACAAACACTGCGTCCCAGGCAACATCAGACAAACTGAGATTATTCCATTAACCTCCACTCTGTTGTCTGTTATTGCTGTTCTCCTCTCATTTCTTCTTCTCTTCCTTTATTTTCTACTTTGTTTCCTTTTTCCTTAATCCCTTTATCATTTTGCCTCCATTACTTGCTGTTTGTCCTTTCATTCTGACATTTTCTCTCCTTCTTCTTTCTTTCTTCCTCCTTTTGTGCCTGAATGTCAGAAATGTGACAGGCTAAGGACACAAAATAATTTGCTTCATCGGCTGTCTGCTTTGACCTTCAACGTCCTTAAAATTGAAGCTTATTCTTGTCTTGACTTCACTGTAAATGGAACAAACCAACACTGAGCAGACAGAAGAAAGGCAAGTGGAGGAGTTATATTAAGAAGAGGGAAAAAAAGAGGAAGATGAGGTGAGGGAAAGAGAGATGTAAAGAAGTTGGTACGAAAAGGACGCACAAAAATACAAAGAAAAGAGGGGGAATAATGTTGAAAAGGCAAAAGAGGACATGAGAGGGGGAGAGGGGAAAGAGTGAGAGAACAGATGTCTTTGGGGTAAAACGCAGATTTGAACTCATCAGTGCATGAAGAAAAGTCCATCTACCCGCTAAGTGATCCATCCTTTTCTCTGTTCGCTTTCACAGAAACACATCAGAGGCAATGAAACACACAGCAGCACACATCTGGAGGGAAATCCTCTTTCTTTGGTTTATGGTCTTCTTTTATTCACTGCAAAGTGAAGGGTGGCTGAGCACTGTGCCCTTTTCCAGCATCGCCCTACTTCAATTTCATGCAGTTAACAAATGGACTTCTCTTAAATGTGCTGCAGACGGTATTCCATTTCCCCTTCTTCAACTGCAGAGCCTTTTCTTTACTTCATCAGATGTTTGGATGGATCTTCGCAGGAAAGTCTCATTTTTCAAAAACATCTCGATTTGATATGTCATGTAGCACCTGTTGTGGCTTCTGACAAACACAACTGGCTGGTGTGAAGTAGTTGGATGACAGTGTGAGATCATGAGTTTGATGCTGATTAAGTGATAAAATCACAGGACGATTAAAAAATACAGTAGGGCAGCCACAAAAAGAACTGTCTTAGCAGTGTATCCTACATATTTACTTATTTATTTATTTATTTATTAAGACCTTTACACAATGTTTTTTTTAGTGTGTTTAATTTGCACATTAACATACTTTTTTTAACTCATGTCATGAGAGCTATCACACAGAATGTGAATATTATGCACTGAAAAAGCAGCATAATGTCTTAACCGTAACAAAGTCAATTTTTCCTGTTTTCACACCACAAATACAGACATTATCCAATCATGGAAAAGACAACAACATGGCGGCCCCGTACTTTCAACTGACCAACACATTTTCAGTCCCAGTCCATCAAATAATGGATCAGTGGCCCTACACATCAAATTATGATGCTCTGGTATCCCCCAGCATCAGTTTTTGACACTCATGGACAGTGTGTTGTTACATGCATTGTGTCTTTTCAAAATAAACTTCTGTTTTCACAGGAAATATGATTTCAACTTGATAAATGCATAGTCTCTTTTCAAAATAAACTTAAAACTTAGGTTAAAAAACAAACAAAAAAATGGATGTTTTTAGGTTTGCTTCCTCAGGTTCAGGCAACAAAAGTACGTTGTTGGGTTTAAAAAAAACATCATGGTTTGGCTTAAAATAAGTACATTTGTTATTAAAATAATGTAATGTTACATGACATACATTATATACATCACTAACATATTATGCAATACATATTAGCGCACGTTGCGCATGTTGTAATTAAAATAACTGATGCCAAGAGCCATTGATGCAACTACTGAGCATATGTATTTAACAAGTTGGGCCCGTGTTACTTTAACAAATGTAGCGCAACCAGATCCACTCTTTCCATTCTTACCTTTTACAATAAAAGCCCTAAGCGTACACATCGCATAACTGTTTAGCAAAGGGAATTCAAATTCACTCAGAGAATTAAGGCAAAATTAAAGTTGGGGAAATAGCCAGCAGCTTATTCTATACAATAACTTACCTTAGAGAGACTATGGGTCACTAAGCTGGTGCAAATCTATTTTCATTAAACAAGTGTTGCAACTATGGCAATTTAGCATTGCTGCTGATATGGTCTTGACGCAGTATTAAGCATTTTCGTGTTGTTTTAATTTGTTCTCACCCCCTGTGTGAAAGCCTTTGGGCCTATGCATTGATGGGACTGGCTCTGACATGTAAAAAAACATATATTAACACTGTTGTTCTGGACTTGATCTACTGTGTCATGACTTGTGCCTCATTTTCATATCACATGATCTTCATAAGCAGATTACATTTGCTTTAGCTCATTTTAAATGTTTAGATTGTCATTTTATCTTTCTGCGCATGTTGGCTTAAAAACTGAGTTTTAAGGTTCATTCTTTGCCTTAAAAACAGCAGATGACAAAACAATCTCACTGCAACATCCTTTGACACAACTGACCAAAGCCTCACACTACAAAAACAGTTTCTTCCCAACTGCAGCTGGCTGGCCTCATGAACGAGGCCAGGGCTCCCGACTGACACGGTCACTTATCCCCTCCATACACGTGACACGTTACATTAATGTGATGCTCAAGAACACCTTGAGGACATTTTTTTTTTATCAGATTGGGCACAAGTATCCACTTGGACTCAATGATAAAGTGATTAGATTTTGGTGGTTAAAGGTCAAGGTCACTGCGTCCTTGCATCTGTCTCTCATTCTTGTGAATGTGATATATCGAGAACACCTTGAGAACTTTTCTTCAAATTTGGCTCAAATATCCACTCTGAGTCAAGGATGGTCTGAAAAGAATTTGGTGGTCAAAGGTCAAGGTCACTGTGACCTCGTCCGCTGCATTCTCCTGAGCACAGTATCTCAAGAACACCTTGAGGGGATATCTTTAAATATGGTAGGCTACAAATGTCCACATGGACTAAACAATGAACTGATTAGTTTTTGGTGTTCAAAGACCAAAGGTCAAGGTCACTGTGACCTTGTCAGTCTCATTTTCGTGATCGTGATATCTCAAGAATGCCTTGAAGGATTTTTTAAAAATATAGCACAAATGTCCACTTTGACTCAAAGATAAGCTGATTTGAATTTGGTGGTCAAAAGTCAATGGTCATGTTCACCATAAGTCAGGAATTACTTTGCTAACTATGATAAATTTCACAGAAATGTTTAATAGGGTAAAATGATGAAGTGGTCTGCAAAAACACTTTTCTTGTCATTATTCAACATCAGGAACAGAAGGGGAGACATTTGGTCAAATGGTGAGTTGGTGACACTAATTTTGGGTGCCCACCATCCATGTTTTTGCAACTTGATGGGTTTGCAGAGGCATACAACTGTGAGGTAGTAATTCTAGCCACTGTTATTTTCTCTTGCTATGTTTATTGTTATGCACTAAAACACCAAGGTAAATTCCTTGTATGTGAAAATCTGTTTGATGACAAACCTGATTCTGGTTCTGATTTAGTAGCTGTCATAGAGGTTTCAAAGTTGAACAGTGAACTTTGAAAGTCCTGACTTGCTCACTCAGGAAAGCTTTGGTAGATTGCAACCATGAATAAATAAGTTTGAGTCTAAGCCTGATCCCTGTGTGCTGAGTGTGTAATGTTAGGCACTGGCACTGTGAAGTTGTGGTTTGACTCCTACTGGGGCTGAGCCAGCTGCATGTAACCTGATTTTATCACCAGGGCTGCAGCATCAGACGAAGTCCTGAGAGCCTTGTTCCGCTGACAAAATGAATGAAACTCTGTCAGAAAACTGCGCTCCCTCGCAGTTTTTCACCCGCAGAGAATTTGAGCCATGTTATTATTTTGCTCTACTTCGTGTCATTGAGCTTTAATTAACACAGCAGGGGGACTCAGCGTCCAGAGCTCACATCACTGGAGAGGAGAGTCAGGCTCATTAACACGGCAGGAACACTCAAACACAGAATGGGTTTTAGGGACATTTTAGGCTTCAGTCTCGTCTGTGTTGCAGATGAAAGGAATGACACAGTTTCTTCGTTTTTCATGGACCTTTCACATCAGAGATAAGACCAACAACTGGGTATTAAACATATAGATACTTAGTATATACATGACAATTTTACACATGCATTTTAGAAGTAGATATATGCAGATAAAGCTTTAAGGACGCAAGGAGAAAGTTTGCTCAACTTTCTCAGTTTGCTAATTGGGTCTTATATTCGGTAAGCAACCACAATCATTACATATTCTGTAGTAATTAGCATAATGCAAAAGGACACATAACTTTTGAGTGCACACTGCAGAGTGCCTTTAAACTAGACAAGATCCACATCAAAGAAAGTAAGTGTGTGTGTCAATATCAGTGTCTAAATTTGGTCAGGCTGGAAAATAATCTCATATTTATAATCCATTTAGCAAACTCAGGAGGTCAGATCAGGTGTGTGTCATATCCAGATTTAGTCCAGGTTTAATTTAGGTGGAAAATATCACACAGGTTATCTGCCAGTATCTATTCAACAACAGACACAACCTGATTTGGAATCTGCTCGTTTAAACTCTACTTGTGCTCCATGTTTTGTATTTTTGGATCCAGTTCACCTCCACAAAGTTTTACAACTTCTTTCTTAGACTAGTTTTGTTTAACTGTAGCTTAGTGAGTGACTGTGACCTTTATGACTGCTGGCAGCGTCCTCCTCCCTCAACTTCCTCAGACACTCCGCCTGGTCTCTCTCCACCTCCAACAGGAAGTTACAGGTTGGATGTCGTCCGTCAAC